TATATATATATAATTATAAGTATAATATATTGTATTATTGAATCAATTAAATTTATATTTAAAAAAATAATAATTCAAGGTGTAATTTTATCAATTTAATTTGTTCGCAATTGCCTCCTCGCAATGGCTAGGTTTTCTTTTCTCTTTTTCTATCATTGTGCTCTCACGGTTTTAATGAAGAACTAGATTCTTCTTCTACTTAAAGCAGGGACGGATAAAGAGGAAAAATAAAATATCAGCTTAATAAAAAAAAATATGGCTAAAAATATACTAAATTCGTTAAAAAAAAATACGTTAGATTTTGTAAAGAGTTTTCAAATTTAAGATTTTTTTTTGTAATTTATAATATTTATTTGGTATACACTTTTTTACAGTTTTCTTCTATAATTTTTAAAACATTTTTTTATTTAATTTTTAGGTTCAAATACTTTTTTAATTCCTATGTTTTATTTTTTAATCTCTATAATTTAAAATAGATATTTTTAATTTTTATACTTGTCTTTTTTAATCTCTATAATTTAAGATAAATGTTTTTAGTCATGTATTCCATTTTCTTAATTTTTTTAACCATTGTCATTATTTTGTTTGTAATGTTTCTTTCATGTTGATCTGTTAGAGATAATAATTCAATTTTATGTATTTTATGTTAAATTTATTTTGCTAAAATTATTTTAAATTAAGTCTTTTAATATTTAGTTTTTTTTTACCCTCACCTGCAATGTCTATTGTTAAGATACTTTTTTTTTATCTCAAAAAATTAAAAATATCTACCATATCAAAAAAAAAAAAAAAAAAAAAGACAACTTTACCAAAAAAAAATAACAATAGAGACCAAAAAGATTAAAAATGACAAGTTTAGAAACTAAATTTTTTTATCTCAAATTATAGAAACTAAAAATAATTTAAAAAGATAAATATAAAGAATAAAAATATTTCTTTCAAATTATAAGAACTAAAAATTATTTTAATCTAATTTTTATTATACCTTTTAATTAAATATTCAAAATCACTCGCACTCATTGTTAATTGTCTTCTCATATATTAAATTTAATTTTTATTTTTTTATTTTTAAAAATAAAATATATGAAGGCATGAAATACCTTTTATACGTTAGTGCATATAAAGTTTTTAAATTTAAAGATGTTTCTTAAATATGTAAAATAAAGATTTTTTAAACTAAAAAATAAAAATAAAATATAAAGATTTTTTGTTATAATATATTTTTTTAGAAGTAAATAACTAACTGTGAATAAAGGGGTAGGGGAAATTTCTGAAGATGTTTTGATAGTAGAAATTCCCATTTCAAGTGTTGGTAGAATGTTATGTGTAGAAATTGGGGCTTGGGTTTTCTTTTTCTAGTATACATACAAGGTAATTCAAAAAAATTGGGGGTGGGGGCAGCCCCTTTGTCCTTAGAATTACACTTATATAATACGTTTGGGGAGATGATTTAGTAAAAAAAAAAGGAGAAATGAAAAGATTATTAATTTATTTAAAAAAAAAGTGTTTGAATCAGCTGATTTAAGTAGATTTGTAAAAGAAAATTGTAGTAACTCTATGTGAATTTATTTTCACTCTTTTATAAACAGATTCGTGTGAAAATATTTTTTAACAAAATGTTTGAATAAAATTACCCTATAATATTGTCTAAATATATATTTAAGAATATTTAGTAAAAGATAAAAATATAATTGTCTAAATAATATATTTTTATATAAAAAAAATTATTATTATAAAATACAATTTTTAAATATCAATTTCTCTCTATTTTTTTTTATCAAATTTTACTCTGTCAAACAATTACAAATTTTATATTATTTTCTATTAAAGCAATTATTACTTATTAGTGAGATGAAAGTATTTCATTTTATAAAAATATTTAAATATTACAAATATTTGTTAGATCAATTATGATTTATCCTCAAATTTAAAGGTCTCAAGTTCAAATCTTATATTTATAAGAATAGTTAATTTTTATATTATTTTTTATTATTTAAAAATTAAAAAATAAAATTATCTAAAAAAATATATACACCAAACCACACAATTATTTTTATATATGTTATAAATTCTCTTTCATTTCTTTTGATTCTTTTCTCTCCTTAAAAAAAATTGAATCACACGTAGTTTCGTCATTGACTTTAAGGATTTGATATGAAATAAATTAATCGCAGCTCGATTGGTCCTTGACACACATATTTCCCTTCTATTTTCTGTATGATTGAGTTTCAGCTTGGAAGTTGTTGGTCCACACACCTTCGAGGATATTAGAAGTTGGAATTACTTTCTCCTAACCAAGCTAACTCATTGACTAAAACCTTTTTACGAAGCCCTTCAGATTGTATGCCTTTCTTTGAAAGAAAAAAAAAAAAGAAAAAAAAAAAAAACCTCAAAAGATTCACACCCCTCCTCCTCAACTAGCCAATCCAGGACGGATTCTTCTTAGTCTCCCCTCATCCATGTTGACTTAGTCCAAAGGGAGAGTGGACAACCAATATGTTGCCTGGCTTATTCAATATACAATCTTCTCATCATCATTATAAAGAACTTCAAAGAAATCAACTAGTTTCAGATTTAATCCATATTTTCTTCTGATATATAAAGAAAATGATAGAAATATATTCTCTTTTGAATTTAGTCTCTACTGTTAATTAAAATTGATTACAAATCATAAATCAATATCACTTCTGATTTGTTGATTCTCTTTCTTGATTTTGTAATTTTAAATAAATATTAACTAATAATAATGTGTATTAAGAATGTGTTAGAATTTGTTTCTACCACACATTGTATATTTAAAATTCAAGTGTAATGATAGTACTAAAAGGCTTGAACACTTTGATTGGATGCATATTGATGGTGAGAAAATATGTAGGAAGAGGAAAAAAGATAGGTGAAATATAGAAAAATGAGTGTGTTTGATAAATGAGAAATAATAAGTAAAGAAATAAAAAAAAAATGTGAATTCAATACGTGAAAAAAAATGATCACATCTTTTAACAAAAGTAATTCATTATTTTCATTCACAATGGATTGTCTTAATGTAAAAGGGAAAGGAAAATCGATCGTCATAAAAAAAGTATAAAAAAATAAATTGATTGTCCTATTTTCTTCTTTTCAAATTTCTCTTAAATCAAAGGATCTCTAAATTTACTTTATTTCTGATATTTTTCATTTACTCAATTTATCTGTTCCTTGAATTCATTTTCATCCACCCTATAATATAAATGAAGATTTGAAATGATCTTCATGTAATAACTTGTTTATAAACATAGCGTGTCAAGCTAGCCCTTATGTTTTTGTTAAAAAATAATATAGATTTTAGCCTTGTGGGTCAAAGATGGGAAAACAGTGTTTGGCAGAAACAAGGGCAACATATAGTGGTAAAGAAAGCTTCAACTTTAGTTGGCTGAAGGCCAGAACCAGGCGTGCCTAAATTTAGAATTGACTACTCAAGTTGGAGTGCAAGACAGTTGTCACATTCAACCCCAAGAGTACAATTAGTGAAAAATGTTTAACTTTAATCTTTTAGAAAAGTTGTAAAAATTTCAGCACAGGAAGGTTAAGGCTACAATTGAGAAAACCAATAGGGCATGCAAGAAGATAAGAACAGGAGTTAACCCCACAGCTAGCGGATACAGCACATTCATTCATAGCCAAAAGACTAAAGTTAAGAAAAGTAAGAAATAACCTTTATCTTTTGACAACCAGGCCCATCATTAAGTTGTTGAAAACAAAAAGTGCAGCAAAAAGGAATTCATTCATGAAACGCATGGGTTTGCGAGGTGTCATCATCATTATCAACCCAGCATTACCATAATTCCATTTGTTACCACAATACGAATGACACAAATATTTGGTATGCCATTCCTTCTGCTCTGCTGAATTTGGAATAATTCAGAGGACTACGACACTAACAATGATTGCTAACAATCACTTTGGCATTTTGCTCTTGTTCATAAGATTTTGCTTCCACACTCATCAGAAAATTGGGAAAACATGAGACATGAAACTAAAAACAATGCTTACAAAGAATATGCGAATAGAACATATGAACATCAAACAAATTAAGACTTCTAAGTAGTTGCAACTATAGTACCCAGTTGTTCTATGCTATTTACAGTAAGAATCTGGAATCTGAATTTTCAACCAAAAATGAAAGCTTTATTTAAGCTTCAGCGGAATCAATTCTGCACGACCCAAGTTCTACTAGTTGTTCTTCTTCTACTGAAGAAGGAAGTTGAAAGGGTTCGGCTTCTAGTAAAAGCCCCAATTCTCCCAAACAAATTGCGGAAAATTCTCCCAATTCCACGACTCTCTCTAACCCTTCCGCTTCCCACCGCCAGAGAGATTCTTCTAGAATCTTCGTTCGAATTTCCACCGCTCTCCCCCTCGGTGTACACCACCGGCACGTGGCTCTCGCCGGCGAATCTCCCGACGGCGAATCCGCCGCCGGGAAGCCTCCATATGGTCAACCCGACCGCCGCCTCCTCCTCGATCTGGCCGGCGCCTCTCCCCTCCGGCGAGGCCTGGTCCGACGGCAGCTCGTGGCGGCAGACCGGACACGAGTTTCGCATGGAGAGCCACGGGAGAATGCAATCGGCGTGGTAAACGTGCTTGCACGGCATCTCACGCGCCAAGGCGCGTGCCTCGAAGGCCTCCTTGCACACGGCGCAGTGCATCTCGGCCTCGACCTGCGCCGCCGTGATCTCCACCGTCGGCATGGACTCCACCGCCGCC